AATAATGGGGTTGCTCATACTGAAAACATTTTAAACATTATTCATTCTATATGTTTAGTCACTAGGTATCACAACTCTGAGGCAACTTATAAAATTCAATTATGGCATTCTCGCTGGCTGGAAGTTGTATTTAACATCTATTTTCTTTTATAATTTACTACTCCACACATTAATGAATTAATTTTATTTATGCCCCTCGGATGCCTAAAGGACAGTGTGTTAGCTCTTTGTGAAGCGGTCCCGGATTCGATTTACGGCCGCGGCAAGAATGAAGCTATAGATTTTTAATACAAATCGTCTCAGTTTCTACAGGTACGAGGCGAAAGAAAAAACTCAGGCATAGCAAGTAAGCTGGGTACGACAATTGGAATATGTCATGCTCACTACATGTCTCCCTTATCCCAGGGGACGATACTAAAACAACAAAAAAGGCGTGGGCACAGAACTTAAAGTCGAAATAACCCGACCCTAAAACGCCAAGTACGTACTTACATATAACTTTTGCTATACTTAAATCGAGGTTTTATCTGTACAAAAACGTGGTCGTTCAAATGAAATATGTGTATATTCTTTGATCATGTTCCCACAGCAAGAAATGTTCGTCCTTTTAATGAGTCGTATCGAAGAAACCTAAACAAAGAGGCTGATTTTGACAAACGAAATTTCGCAATGAAATTAAATTCTCAGCAGTGAATCGGCAATTTGCCACGCGAATACCGTGACGTCGTGACCTTGGCTTCATGCTTATCCAACACGCGCATGTTCATGGTATTCGTTTGTTTAGAGGTTTGTGGTTTGTTTGTTTTATGCGCTCAAGTATGAAACAAATTGCCAAGGGTATGTGTCCCGCCAGATAATTTGCAAAGAAACTAGACCGTGCAAAATAGTTAAGATGGCTGTACGCTGCTACCACCACGTACCAACCAAAACTGTAAAACCCAATCAGTAGGGACTAATTCTATCAATTCCAGTGGCCTCCTAAATATTTCATGTCGACATTATTTTTATTTACTTATGTGATTATTGGAAACGATTAAACTGTACGTGACGTATGGGGAGAAATGTTATTTGCAATGCTCGCGGCAGCTTTACAGATTGTGAAGAATGGGAAAAGAAAACATTTCCGTAGAGTTTCACCAGCTGAAACTGCTGCAGGCCAAGAGCGAATGCGCGCTGTCGGGGGCCATGCTACAACATGCTTATGAACTTGAGCCGCTCATTAGCATAGAGACTGTGAAGTTTACGGAGCACTTCACTTAGTACAGTACTGAGTGTTTTGCATTCACTTAATGAAACGACATATATACTGCACGTTGTTATCTTACACTCTTGTGGCACTAGTTCAGCGGGGAATCGACAGATTGTTCTACAATAATATCGACTACTAGTTTGGCGCGGCGCTTGAACGGGTATTTCATGTTAAATATATTTGTGTGTTATGCAAATTCATAAAATGCAGAGATTTTAAATATAATACAAGTGTCCGGCTCGTCCATCCTCGGGTACAGAAAGTTATTCGGAAAAAGTATCGATAATATTTAAAAAAATGTTTTTTTTTACATTCAAAATTGGGTTAATGATCGTCAATCTGGTTTGCCAAGTCGTAACGATTCATGTTAAGCCGGAAAGACCGTAAAGTGATTCACAGCGTTTCACCACTAGGTGCTCTGAAACTAACTGAAATACTTTTCCACAGCATTATTACAAAATATTCTTCAAGGATCTGACTAAAACAGTGTTAATCGATTCGTAGTGTTGAGTAGAATCGAACGAATTATTAATCGCCAATATTAGTGCCTTAATTCTTCTAACACATTTTTGGAGCTTCCCTCTCTGAAAAAAAAATATTATCGAGAATTGTTTTAGGATATTGTGGGTTAATACTAAAAAATGGTCAGTTCCCCGGCCAGTAGAGATACGTGGAATGACCTCTTACTTACCCCAAATGGTTAATAGGAAGAGGTTCAACAGTCTGACATGCAAACGTAGAGTCACCCGATTACTATAGTTAACACAACACAGACATTATCACAGAAAATTAACATAAATAAAAAAAGTTGAATTGTATAGATGGAGTTCTTTTTTATTAGTGTTGTTTTTATGAACAAATATATTCATTTCTTTTGTAAATAATAAATAATTTACATGTTTCTGGAGTGTTTATATGTTTCTGTATTGCAAATTTTTGTGTAGAAACTGTATCTTCAAACCAACTTTTGAGTGCTAATTGGAGCTCAGCTACTCAGAACATCCAAAGAGTTGATTGCACAAAATGTGCTTAAAATTGTCTTACAAGCGTATTATCGAAGTTTCGAGTTTTCCTCCTTGGACAACTCTGCCTTTATGGCTACCTGAACTACCCAGCGTTGCTCGGATGCTTATTAACCATAATCGATTAGACAAGAAAGAAATGCTTTCTATACTTCGATTTAAGTGTAGAGTCCCTTCAAGGTCATGAGCTGGAAAGAGTGGAAGGACACGGTCATCGTATCGCGGGTTTCGAAAGTTAAAGTATCGAAACTCGCGATTGGATAACAATTCCCCCCTCCCCCTCCTTCCAGCTCGTGAACTTGAAGGAATACTGAAAATGGGAGTTTATGTATGTTGTATCCCCTCCTCGGCCTATCCTGCCGTCCATTGCTCTGCCCCGACCTGTCCTACCGTAACCTCCTCTGTACCGTCCCTGCCTTTCCCCACCCGCCCCGACCCACCAGTGTATTTCCACCCTCTCCTCAGTTCTGCTCCGTCCCGTTTCACTCTGTCTCGCCTGCTTCGCCCAGCTGTGTTTTCTGTGACTATTGTTGCCACCACCATCATTGCTGTGGAGCTGTAAGCAGGCGGTGCTTTGTTGTCTACTCCCGGCAAACAACGGTTAGTAACAATTTGGCCATTAATTACTCTGAAACCAATCGCGGTCTTGAAATTAATCAAAATGCGTTTAGTAGGGAATTGTATGGGCTTTCAGAAACGTTTGATTCATTTGAGTGAATTTGCTATGTGCTGTAAGATATTTGCGAAAAACGGGCACAGTGCACATTTAAATTGGGCTCTAAGGGAATGGGAATAGGGTAATTTTTACGAAATTTCATACAGACAGTAACTTTTCTTTAGTTTTAAAGATCACAACACTTTTTTAATGTCGAAATAAAACTGCACGTTTGTATTAAAAACAAAAAAAATCTCTTACAGAAAAATATTTGAAAAAGTAGCCTAAATTATGCCCGACGAAATACCCAACTTTTCCGTAAAAAACTCATTGAAATATGTTCGGCAGTTGCCCGGACAAACTGAGAGACAACCATTCTAAAAACAATTGAATGGGTTTTTGTATCATGTAAATAACGATATGAGATTAAAAAGAGCAATTGTTTTGAAATAACAGGCCAATAACCCCCAACACTATTTGAATAGATGTGTGTTATATTTACAGACGTGCTAGGGAACGAAGCAAAGCAGTCAGTTGAAACCGCCCCTTGTTTGGAATACCTGAATAAAGTAGATTATGAAGGGATCGAACACGGCTGCATACCGTGTTCTTGATTATATAAGATTAATTATACAAGTTGTGTTGTACATTCTTCATCATTTACTGAAGAAAATGAACGATGAAATAATGCATTAGGTCATGGAGGACAAATTTCTATTGAAGTAAAATTTTTAAACGTTTATTTTTACGAGATTATTTCACTTCCAAAATTCTAAAACGAAAAATGAAATTGTCAACTCAGCAATTTTGAGTTTCTGAGACTGTCCTTTGATATTGTAAAAATCACCGTTTTTCAATCTGCCCTCGTCTCGTAAGTTCCCCCCGAGTGGCGCGCTGCTTGGCAGCGAGAATTCTCTCCGGGAGTCTGCCTTCCCGCGTGTTAATCTACTGGAAGGCCTTTGATCCACGTGATCTAAGACCGCTCCCTCCCGCGGCTCGACCGCGTGGCAAGTTTCTACCTGAACTCGCCCGTCCCCGGGGGCAAACGGGACACCCGCGGCGGTAGGCACGGCGTCGCAGCGACGCAGCCCTGATAGAGGTGCGCACCCACGAGCGCGGGGGCTCCGCTCGCTGGACTGCTTTATCCTTTCCTGCAGCGGACAGGTGGAACAGGGCGGAGTGCGTCGGGTGGCGGAGCGGGCCTGGCCGGATGCGGGTGACGCGAGGCAGCAGAATGGATGGGTCGGAGCGTGGCGTGGCGGGGAAAAAGCTAGGACGCGGAAGGTGGGGAGTGGAAGCGCAGGGTGTAGCGGGGGAACAGCGGCGCGGGACTGAATGGAACGGGTGCAAGCAGAGCGTGGCGTGGCGGGGAAAAGCTTAGACGCGGAGTGTGTGTGAGTGGATAGCGCAGCGTGTAGCGGGAACAGCGGCGCGGGATAGAATGTGAACGGGTCCAAGCAGAAGCTGGGGAGGCGCTGTTGAGGCGGAGGCGGGTGGATCGAGGAGGTCGGAGTGGAGGTGGGCGAGGCTTGTCATTTCCTTTTCATTACTGAGAATGAAGGTCATTAACGGGGAAGAGGGAGGCGTAAGCGGACGCGGGAGGGGTGTAATCAGGGCGGCGACATGGGTGACGACGCAGCGGGGCGTAGAAGCGCGGCATAGGAGAGCGGAGCATAGGAGGCGGGGCCTAGGAGAGCGGGGCAGGGCCTAGGAGAGTGGGGCCGGGCCAGGCGGCAGCTGGTGGCGGGGGCGTTTAGCACTATACGGGCAGACGTGGTGGAAAGCGAGCAGAGCGGGGCATGAGCTAAGCAGAGCGAGGCGAAGCGGGGCGGGAGTGTAGAAGCAGCAGAGGCGAGGCGGGGGCGGGCGGAGTAGAACAGCAGAGGGGCGGTCATGCGGCAGAGCACAGGCAGTGCTGGTTAAGAGTCAGTTAACAGTAAGCGAGTTGAGTGGTTTTGGACGGGCGAACCGGGGAGGTGTGTGCGGGGAGAGGGTGCCGGCGTGGCGCGGCGTGGCGGCGGCGTGCGGGGCGGGGCGAGCCGAGGCGAGGGGACAGCGCGGCTCAAGGACTCACATCGTCATGAAGCGCAGCACGAGCAGGTTGATGCTGGCGGCTACCACAGCCAGCCCGAACAGGATGAAGACGAGGCTCAGCGCCACGTAGCCCGGCTGCCGCATGAGCGCCTGGTCTTGCTGCGGGCAGAGCGGCGCGTGTCGGCTGTGGCGCCTTTCGCATCGACAGCCGTGCGCGCGCGGGGAGAGACCAACCTCAGGTACGGAGGAAGAAAGAATTTCTCCGGGGAAAGTCAGATGCCAAAAATACGTGATTGCTCATTCATGCAGTTTGATATTACCAGTATTCGAATAGGGGAAGTTGTGGAAGGATATACAGTTTTATACGAATAACTACTATAATGGAAATTACATTTTCGGGAGCTCAGAATATTTCATTACCGAATTCAAGGGAATATTTTTAAAAAATATGGTGGATGACAATTTCTTACCTCAATCGTAACTGCTACTATTTACGGTTTGTATTCTTCCCAGTTTGTGCAGAACTTTTCCGCCAATGTTAAATGACAAATCAAATCCATGTTTCTACAGAATGACTGCAAAAGTACTGAAGTTTCACAATACCTTTTGCATAAAAATCAAGCCTTTCTTCATTTAGCATCCTGAATTCTCATAGCAAGATGCATTCTTGGAGTAGTTCAGTAATTATTAGAATATCTATACAATTTTTGAAACATTTTTTCGTACAATTACAAGTATAAAGTTTTGGCTTCGAATTCTTCCAATATATTTTTCGAAGTTTTGGTTACAAGAAATATGTGACTACCGAACATCATCTTTAATGGAGAATAAACATTTATGTAAATCATGAAACGATTCAAGTTATATGATATCGAATTAGTGATTTGGTGGAAGAACACCCGAATGCCTTTATCATTTCTATTAATAAAGGCACCATTTTTACCCAGGGTCTACTTTACAAACATCACTGACATGATAAAAATCTGATTTTTGAGGGTGAGAACGAAATAGTTGCGTAGAGACGTGTAAGAAATAGCGACGCGAAGGAATGACCTCTTATTAAAAATGTATTTTAACGTCCGTAGTTCTCAATTTAATTTTAACTATCACAAATCATTTTGATTCTTACAATATGAAAATGTTTTGCCCTTTAAAACATTCACATAAATATTTTTCGGTATTTGTTTTGTCAAGGAGATAGAGGGTTAGAACGGGGCACTTTACGAACTATTCAAGAAGGCCACCATTAGCCAACAGCATTTTCGTTAATGTTTGTTGAGTCACAGACGGCAAGGACATCCGAAACGAGAAGGGAAGATAAGGTTGTAGGAGTTTTCTCACAGAATAACATACTGTGAGATCATCTCCCACATTGCTTGGGGAGCACCACACAACGTGATACCACATTGCTTGGGGAGCACCACACAACGTGACTCCACGTTGCTTGGGGAGCACCACACAACGCGACACCGCATTGCTTGGTGGGCACTGATGGTGAGGTAAACTATTCGAAACACGTATGCGAGAAAATAAGATCTGTATTTAGAGTAAATACACTTTTATTGTAGAATGTTAGTTCTTAGTATCTTTCCATATGGATTTCCACAAGGTTTCGCGGTAACCACCGGCTATAAGCTAATACAAATTTTCAATGGCAATGCTGTTGCATTGAGAAGCGCCACGTACCTGCAGCGCGACGTAGTCGCCGAAGCCGATGGTGGTGAGCGTGACGAAGCAGTAGTAGAAGCTGTTGAAGTAGCTCCAGCCCTCGTAGCGGGAGAAGACGGCGGCGCCGGTCGTGATGATGACGGAGGAGAGCATGCCCGTGGCCAGCATGAGGTTCATCTCGGTGGCGTCGGTGCGCTGGCAGCGCAGGTAGCGCTTGGCGCGGCAGATGAGCACCGACGCGAACTTGTTGAGGCGCTCGCCGATGCTTTGGAACATGACCAGCCCCAGCGGGATGCCCACCATGGCGTACGCCATGCAGAAGGCCTTGCCGCCGATGGTGACCGGCGTGGAGTGGCCGTAGCCTGCAACGCGCACAGGATGCATTCGCTGGGTTTGGTTGATTGGTGGTTGCGAGGTCATTATTCCGTACGTGTTGGGCATGCTTTCATCGTGGGGGATGGCGGTTATCTTCCCCAGACGGTGGCGAGACCTGGCGCCGACCTACATCGGCTTGCACGGTTTTCCCAATAAGGTGTCTTCCACTAGCGGGGCTCCAGCCGAGACAAGCCCCCAACCCTTTGAACCTTTCCTTAAGGGAACCAGATTCTTTCTGCTTTATGCTTTCACTTACAGCATGGTGTTCAAATGGAAACACATTCGCCATGTGAATAGGTCTTCGCGCTGTTGGCAGAAGGACGAAATAACTGTTTAGTGTTGCTGTAAATACAACAAGCATCATTTGCTCTTTACGAGAAAGATGTGTTGATTTATTGAAATGTTTTATTGTGTAATACGAGTTAAAAAAACATCTTTACGTAAAATGAGTGTAGAATATTAATAGATGATTGAATGTGAATTGAAAATAGAGACGGTACTCATGGGGAGCCACTGTGCACAACTTCAAAATCGGATATTTTTTGTTAATATTATATTTATTATAGCTGATCTTAGAATATTGATTCTTTCTTTTATTTTTTAAATGTCTACGGGACAAGGCAAACCTAATTGGCAAGCCAATGCTGTATTATTGGAAGAAGATTAACTAACTGTTTTTTAAGACATCCGAAGCGGCGGTCAATCAAACGATGATGAAGAGAATTTGGACGAAGAACCGCATCGTTCACGCTTGTCTTATGAAACTTGCCGAGTTACACTTTGTATAAACGACAAGAAAAATTGTTTTAAGACTTTTAACCAAAATAAAATAAGTATTTCAGTTTTTTTGTAATGTATATATACAGTCTGACAAAAAACGTTGCACCCAGATGGAGTGGTCCCGATATTCTCCCATTCCGGTATTCGCGCATACAATTGGTGTGTGCGTAAATGATTAGATTCACATATGTAATACGTAAAACGTCCAATAGAGTGCATTCGTGATGTCACCGCTCTGCTGTTCGCAGTTGTTACAGTTACCTGCTGTGAGTCGAACGGCAAAGAACGACGTCTACGTACAGTACGATGCCGCGCAGGTGCAATCCTCAACATATTAACCAATTGACTGCATTGACTGAGGTAGCATTGTGGAACTCCATGAGGGTGGTAGGTCGTATCGTGCAATTGACAGGCATGTGGACCATTCAGATGTCCCAGTGGCTCGATGGTGCAATCAATGGGTGCATGATGGGACCCTTGCACGTCGTTAAGGGTCTGGTCGACACGTGTTTTGTAAACGTGAAAGAATAAGCATACACATCTTTTGTCCTCCCTATTATGTAATACGTAGTGACTTGTTGTGGTCCATATAGACTTACTCGCAAAGAAAATTTAGATTCAAAACAAAGCTTTCACGTTATGTACGAGGAAAAAAAAGAAATATCTCGAAATAAAAATGAACAGGGTTGCCAAATAGGGCGGAACTCCGCTTTTGGAGCTGCAAACGGCTCTCTCTCGCGGGACAAAAACTGACGTCGCGGAATACCGCCTAATGGACGGAAGTGCATCAAAACGAGTGCGGTTTGGGGCGGGTTTTCAGATTACGAGTAAATTTTCAAAAAACAACAACGACGTTGACTGTGAAAATTTTTTCGTTTTTTACTTTGTGCATGATTTTTCAATAATAATTATTTTTATGCGTTTAAATTTTCTTTGAGAAGCGAGTAATGCTAATTTTTAGAACTCTAGTATAGGCTGCATTCTAAAAGTCGCAGAGTCTTGGTGGTTAGTACATAAATATATAACACATTGGCAGTACTTGCAGTTAATTTTAGAACACACCATTTACAATTAGTCATCTTTTGGAAGAACGATGTCACTGCCACCGTTTTCCGTTAAGCCATAGGGAACAAGCTTTCATATGTATGCATTTCTGTGGTAATATTTTTAAGCGTGGATATTTATCAGGAGCAAGGAGAGTGAAAATTGGAAAGCGAGAAAATTACTTTTTTCCTTCAAGTATTCCTCCCATCTGCTGAAGTAATAAGAATACTAATAACTAATTTTTAAATATTAAGATATAACTTATTATTACAAAAAGTATAATTTTTTACATAAACTATTCATTAAAATGTCCACAAAAAAAATGCAAATCAAGCATTTCATTGAGCCACTACGTCAAAAACCTCCAAATAAGTTATTTTTAATGGAAACTCAAATTTTCCGTTTGAAAAGTTTCTTATTGGCGGAATAGGGCGGATTTAATGCCATCTAACGACGGATGTTTGTACGAAGCATCTGACAACCGTGAGCATGAAAGGGAGGCTTTTCGATTTATAAATATTATATGTAGTCCAACCAACTTGGTGTATTAGTCTACGATTATGTGTAAGCTTACGAGGTAGTAACCGTAATTCTAAAAACATGCCAATGGTATAAAATCTGTAATATGAGTAAATACGATAATCCCAAAATTTACGTTGTGCCGGGCATCCTCAAGGCCAAGAAGGCCAAAACGACGGAGGAAATTGGAAATACTAGGGAGGCGAGATTTAAGAAATTTTCGAACAGTTCAATAGCAAAGAGCAGGTGTCATGGGTACCTGAGGGGCAGAGAGACGTATTCAAGGTGAAAGTAAAAGATTCGGGAAATCCAGAAAGACTGCCCAAAGTTTTAGCACGCTCCTCAGTTGCCTAAATGAACAAAAAAGTAATAAAAATAGCAATAATTGTAATGATTTCACTTGTATACAAGTACATGTGTATTAAAATGTTCTTTATCTAAAGATTCAGAAAGTAAAAAAGTAATGTTATAATTATTAATACGAAGTAGGTTCCAACAGCAAACGTATTGTTCCTTGAAATGGTTAAGAACAAAAAGGTTCAAAAACGTCGGAAGGAAAGCTTCTTTTGAGTCGTATTGTCTGCGCCTGTGGAGCACATCACACGTGCACGCGACTGCTCGAATGGAGCCAGCGGGAGTGGGAGGCGGCGGCGGGCAGGTGGCCTCCTGGCGCGGCGCTCCGGGTGCTGAGTCGTCACGTGACCTTTCCGGGGCATCCCCTTTCTTGTCTGGGCTCGATAACAGTCCACCAACACACACAGACACACGCAAACACACACACACACACGCGCGCGCGCGTCCGGTAATCGCCGTTTCTGGCGCAAAAAGCGAGGAGTCGCTGACAGCGCGGCTGTTGGGCAGCGCCGCAGTTTCCTCTTCTTCTCATCTTTCTTTCTTTCTTTCTTTCTTTCTTTCTTTCTTTCTTTCCGGCTGTGTCCTCCCGTTGCACTAACGTTTGCGTTGCTCGTTTGTTCCAATTCCGCGTTTCGTTCCAGCTCGCCGCCGCTGTCGGTCGGTTCGTTGTCAACTACTATTTGGAACCGTTTGCTCGTTTCGTAGAGGAGTTCTTTCGAAATCTCTAGGAGCCTTTCTCTATTAAGTTCCTTTTTGTCATTTATCATTGCATTTCCTGCAGCGTTGCAGCGAAAAAACTACGACGTGCGGTAAAACAGAACACAGAGATGATAAAGAAAATTGGGAATCCTGATTGGCGTTCAGAGAAGAGACGGACATCTTACAGAAGGGCATCTTACTTTAGGCCTCGATCTATTTCGGATGCCGAATTAATTACTTATGTATTCCAAAGAACGTTGCGAATACAGTACCGAAGGGTCTTCATTGTATCGACACCTTTCATAATCACAAAGATTCGGCAATGTGCTGCATTCTTTTTCCAATAACTGTTGACACTCCGAACGCTTTCTGAAAAAGGACTGAGCAATATCTCTCGTGATAAAATGCATTCGCAGAAATGATCCAATTGCTGACATAAAAAGCACGGGATATACGTTTTGACAATATTCCAGGGTAATGTGCTTAAATGAATACACAGATGAATTCAGCATTCATATGTAAAAAAGAAAAAAAGAACAAACGATTTTTAACTTGTGTGCTATCGCAGTTCTCAATACTTGTCCACCACACGCCCCACAATTGGGACTGTTTTTTTTACGATACGTAGGTAACTAAATGCTTTAAAATAAATTGTTATGAGATTCGCTAACCTCTTCATCACGTAATTTGTGTTCAAAAACATTCTTCTTCCCTTTTGTTTGAAAGTTAAGCTCTCTCGCTCGTTTCCTCGCTCGCTCTTGCGTTCTCATACTCTCTCATCCCTCCCTCTCTCTCTCTCTCTCTCTCTCTCTCTCTCTCTCTCTCTCTCCCTCTCTCTCATAAAATGTATAAAGGACGGAGTATTTTTGAAAAACGGCCCTTGTAATACTGTTCTTGGGCACATCTTTTTCTGGAAGCCTTTGCTGATGTCCGTGTAAATATCGTAACTATCTCATTACCGAACTAGCAACTTCAATTTTTAGTGATATTACAAACATATCTGAGATCATAGTAACAGTAATTCAAACATCAATATAACGTAGGTGTTGAAAGCCTTCAAAAAGAAAACTTGAGCATTTGTTGCAATTTTAAAAAAATATTTGCATAAATAATAAAATGTAATAAAATGTAATTCTGTAAAATCTTAGTGCAGTACTGTTTGTGCAATGGGGACCTGAGTGGGGGCTCTACTCAGGTGTCATTGTCTTCTCGCCAACGCAGAGCTGACGCTTCCGGCTCGTGTGGAAGGAGTATTAAATAAATATTAAATCCTGATAAACAATATTGGAAACTCGATTACTTTAATTCTCCTTTATTCTTTTCTCCTTCCTTTACTGTCCAATTTGACAGGTTTTACATTTTTATTACTTTGAGGACAATAATTTACCATGCCAAAACAAATCCTGTATTTGTTTATAGTACATATAAGAGCATCAGGGCTAGGATTTATTTGAAATTAAATATACTTTCAGTATTTTTAGCATTTTTCAACATTTTTTTACAGTGTGTTCGATATTATTGTTTCTCATCAGTACATGTAGAAG